AGTGGGGAAGAAAGTTTAAAGCACCAAAGTGGCACTTTGTCGCCTTTTATGCTTACTTGAACTGACCGCACAAAGATCCTTGCAGAATCATTCCGAATTTTTCCCTTGTATTGCCTTGGATCTCCCCACGAAGAAAGTTAAGCTAAGTTTGTTGTCCCTTTTTTTATGGCCAAACTGGACACACATAAATTTTCCTACTCTTCTCACATGTGTCGTGACCATTTTCCCACAGTTTTCCAACGCGGGGGAGGGAAATCAAAAAGGAATTATTCTTGACCCATCGGAGGGATGGAATTTGGGTGTGTTTCAGAGTTCCCTTTTTGTATAATTTCCATTTAGTGTTTAAGCCAACACCTCAAAGGACCCGCAAAAGGGTCCGAGAACTGACGAAGATGAATACTCCATTTGATTTGCATACTCCATTCGGATTGAGGTTCGGGACCAGACAAAAGCCTTTTCACTTGCTGACAGCAAATGGCTGACCTAACGAACCATAAATTAAACACGCTTTTGATGTCTTGGACGGTCTAAAATGTTTATTTACTTTAGTTTGCAGGACAATGTTTATCCTTAAAATTCGATTATATGAAACCACCCAAAAATAAATACCATTTACGGGAGGTTTTTGGTTTATATGATTGAACTTGAGAATTAATTGTAGTGTCTAGGGGTTGTAGAGTGCGGAAAGTGCTAAACAATTTGCATAAATTACGGAGGTCCAAGGCACAAACGTATCAACCCGGCAATAAATTCAAGTCAGACGCCTGGCTTAAGTCATCAAAAAGGTAACACCACAAAGAAAAATTGCCGGACAGATGAAATAAGGAGAAAAAGTTTTCGGGTAAAACAAAAAATGAGAAAAATGTAATGACCAAATGTGGTTCGAAAAAATTGTATACAATATAATTTTTTTTAAAGAAATCAAACCAGTGCCCTTCCAAATTTGACTAGAATAGTAATTTTATGTCAAAGAAACATATTTAAATAAGTAAAATACATATTTTTCAGAAAAGCCAACTGTGCGCAAAGCTTAGAAATAATTACTCATCCCAAAAAAAGTTTGACTGCCAAATGAATTATGCTGCAAATGCCTCGTTATTAATTAGACTCATTTGCCACTCGAGTTCAGTCGGAGATTGTAACCATGAAGACACCTTAATTAAATGGCTGTCTGCGGTGGATGAGTTCCAGATTCAACCGCAGAGTCAAAGTTTTTCGACCATCCCAAGGGTGGTTGTTGCCCATTGTCGTTCCTGCTTTGTTTTTTGCCAAAATATTTTGCATATGAGAGTTTTTCGGCTCTACCCTGATGATTGGACTCCTGTCCCTGGAGATTTGTCATTTTCATTTTCATAAATCAATTTGTTAATTAGTGCGCCACTTTTGGTTGCCTGCTGTAGACAATGGAGGCGATTAGCCATCAGTTTTCGGTAGATGAGGTTGCTAGTTATAAATTGTATGGTTTAAGGTAATTGTTTTGGGAAATCAGGAATGTATCTAAAATTTTAAGATATACACTAGTCTACTAGTCTAGTAAGAGCTATCTTACAAACTGGCTAAACTGCCATTAATATTATCTGCAATTTGCAGCACATACTTTTTCTAGACGTATTTAGATCACTTGAACCATGAATAAGGCCCAATATAGAAAACTATTTAGCTTCTAGTTGTTTATTTTATTTTCCACCTCCCATAAACACAAAGCAAATAAACAAATAAAGCTGCCCAGCCAATCAACAATCGAATCTTTAATCCCATTTAGTTTGCGCATCGAACTAAAATTACTTCAATTTATTTTGATGGCCAATATAAAGGAAAAATGCGTAAATAGCTGGAAATATAAATATTTTATACGTCATCCGAATGGAAAAGCTTTAAAATGCAGGGGAACTTTAAGCTGCCACTTTAGCCACTTTATGGCAGGGAAGAGATGGAAATAAATAAAGAAAGAGGGAGCAGGACGAAAGTCGAAGGATGTGGCTGCCATTTAATGTCACTTGGGCGCAACCATCAAGCATAAAGCCCTTGTATCCTTCCACCTCCTTGAAAAATAACAGTTTACACAAGAAAACAAAACAAAACCCAGCCATAAATGCGGAACGGGAAGCCACATGTGAAGTGTCCTGGCTTTGACTTTGACTTGAGGTGCATCCTCCGAAGTGCGCCAAAGTGAAATGCATTTCAGCAACAATTGTTGCCAGCTGTAAATAAACACGACTTGCCACGCCCCCTCTGACATGGATGGCAAACAAAAAAAGCAAACACTGCCATGATAATAAGGTATATAATTTAATATCAATCTGACAGCCAGAAGGCAACAAAGTGCCCCGGCGACGAAAACGACGCAGCGTTTTGTGCTACGTTTTGTGTTGTGCCAGTGTTGGAAAGGTAAATACCCTATAATAGCCATTAAGGAAGAGCTGATATCGATTGGCGATAAGTGGGATGCAATGCAGGGAAGTATGGAAATTAATCCCGAAATGGAAAGGTTACAACTGTACTCTAGGTTTCAAGAGCTATTATTTTGCGTCCGTACCAAAAATAAGTTAGAATTCAGTAGACCTACATATTTCTTAGTCATTTTGGTATCAGAAATACCTGCTTCTAATATTTCAACAAGTATTCAGATATATTATAATAAATCGAAGCCATGGGCAATATTTGCGTTTAATTTTATCCTAAGTCAGCTTTTATGATAATTTTCAAGAGTTCTATGTTTACTTTAGCTTATACAAATAATTACATCTATAAAAATGGTATTGTTCTTATAATCCACCTAAAATAATTGGGTGGTTTGATAATCTTCATGCAGAATCAAGCCTTCTTGACTGAAAACATAAAGGCAACCAACGATAATTATTCATTTAAGAAGGGTATCCTTTTATCTGTCCCTCCTTGAAACTCACTTTTCTGGGTGCTGCTCCCTTGTAATTTTTTCCTGCCGTCTTGTTTTGCTGTTCGTGTGCTGCACATGCCCCGGCGCACTTCACTTTTATACGAACACGGTGCACCTATAGCTATATATATATGCATTGTCTGTCTGGAGGTACTCAAATGCTACTCCTTCGATGCGATGCGTTTCGTCCTTTGGATCCCATTTCTGGTCCTTTTCTTTTTCCCTTTTTTGTTTGCCAACTAAATAAATGCAGTTTGTGTGTGCGCCTGCACTTGTTGTTTGTGTTGAGCCAAGCAGAACATTTCCATTTGAATGTTCTTTTAAGCGAAAACAATTCTTTTCTTTGTTTTGCTTTCGAGAATTCCTTTCTGTGAGTTTTACAGGTATATGTAAGTGATATGCCCAACCCCCTGAATTTCGCTCGAGTGTTTAGCAATTAGATCATGGATTTTTCCTCTGATTTCTTGGGGTTATCATCACTTGGATGTCATTATCGGACCCCGCCCACTTACCTCACCTCACCAAAGGTAATTTCCTTTTGTTGTGCACTTTTTCGTATATTTTCCCTTAAAGTTCTTCGGTTGGATTTTATTTTACATTTTTTATGCGGCCACTATAAAAAAGTTTTTACATTTTTTTACGGCACTTATTTCTGCTTTCTTACTTATTCTGCGCTGCTTCTTACCCATTTTATTCAGCGGGTAACAAAAGAAGTTTTTGACGGCGAGTGCATTATATTTTTGACTTACGGCGAGAAGTTGATTATGTTGATTTGTGGAATTGATTTGGCAGAGTGTAAAACGGGGGATAGGGCGAAGGACCCACACAGACACTCCTTTTTACCATAAAATATTCCTGGCATGTGGTTCACAAAATGTTAACCGATTGTTCTTAAGGTCGTACGGCGATGTAAGATGGGATTGGTTGTTTTAAAATAATGGAAAATGGTAGATGGGTTATAGGGTTTTTAGAAGTCAAATGTAGAACGCAATGTCTGAAGGTGGAACATTTTGGGGTATTTTATGTAAATCTTCTTAAAGTCGAAAAAAGTTTATAGTTAAAAAATTAAAAAATATCAAACATCTCTACCGTTTCTTTTAAACCGAGAGAGAAGTCGAATTTTTACATGTATTAACATGCATTAATTTTTACCTGTAATTTAGCAATTTACTATTCGAAATCAATAAGATCTTTATAGTAATTATTCGGTGTAACGCAGTTATTAAAAGGGTTAAAAACCATTTTTCACATGTAACATGCTAACAAAATAAATGAAGTACATTAATAAAAAGAAAAGAAACATTCTTAAAAAGAAACAGGGTTATACACATGCTTGAACTTAAGAGGCCGAAAGAAATTGGTCAAGGACACGTCTAGGCAAAAAAACAGAAAAGGCAAGGACGGAAACTAAGTCACATCAAAGACAAAGTTTCGGTTGAGCCGTATAACAATTCGAAAACTTCCCCTTCGTAATTCGAAAATATAGAAAATACAAAAGAAATTAGTAAGAAAACGCCTTAAGATTTGGAATAAAAGAAAAAACCATTATTATGTTAACTATAAAATATTTATATATAACAAAACAAGAAAACGTAGTTAATGTAGATAACGTAAGTCGAAAAGTAGCCACAACCGTAAAGCAAAAACAGTTCCCCTTAAAATTCAAAGTCGAAAATATATGTCATGGAAATCGAATCCCAAATTGTCAGGGGGATTTTCATTATCGAAAACTTGCCTTTCTTAATTCGGAAAACGTAAGGAATGCCGTATCATTTCAAAAAAACACCCCTTACAATTCGAACTTGAAACCCAACGTTGGGGTAAGTAACGTAATGGATAATACGAATACGTAACATGCCACAAGTGTGACTCTCTCGATTTCCTTTGAGGAAACGTTTACTGCACGTGATGAAAGTAGCTCGACATAACGGCACAGATATAGACGGAGAGCGAGAAAGGGAGAGTCGCGCAGAGAAAGGGAGGGAAGATAAGAGGCAGAGAGCGGCCGAGAGAGTGAGAAGGGATGAGGGCGGCGAATTCTCCCCCCGTTTCCCGGGTATAAATACGGGTGTCCTGCGAGCCGAGCTCCTCAGTCGAACGACAACCCGCCAAGAATTCAGAGCTGGAAAGGCAGGAAAACCCCTGGAAAAGTCAGGAAATTTATACAGTGCCATTTTTACGTAAAACTTTGAGAGAACCAAAATGGCTATACCATTCTTCGAGGAAGAGCATGTCTCCAAAACCGAACCGAGTGGCGATCAAGTGGATAGTCCCATGGCCTTCTCCATAGATCCTGGACATGATCAAGTGGACTTCGAAGGACCTCCGTCTGCGGCAGCAGAAGTCCCCCAGCCGGGAGCAACAAGTGAGCCAGTTTCGCCGCCGAGCGCCGAGGAGCAACTGTTGGCCTGGAAAATCCTGGCACTCACCATGTGCAAGGTACTCAAGCAGTTTTACCTTCAACACAAGACATCCGGAAAATCCAGCAAACTAAAGGCCACCGTTCACATTCAACCGCAGGCGCAGTAAATATTTTTGCAAAAAAAATATTTATCACCAACTAAGGCTCCTAAAAGCGCAACTTGTGATTACTTTACGTTGGTGAGAACTAGCGCAGCCCCGAAATTTTCGAGAGAGAAAGAGCGAGACAGTGACAGAGAAATGTGAATCGATTTCCCAAGGAAAAACCCAAAAAAATAATAATTTTTATACATGTATTTTCTTTGTCGGAAATTATTCCTGCCCAGAGTTTCTAAATTGCCGTCGGCTTACAACAAAATCATAAAATTTGGATAAGCGCAAATGTGATAAATAATTTTGCTAAAAATATTTTCAGTCCATAATATTTGTTTAGTAAACTTATTTAAGTTAGTTTTACTGATTTAAATTATTAAGTCAAGTTCTCTTAGGAGGTCGGCCCAGTGCAAAGAAAAATGGAAAGAAGAATCTGATAATATATTGGAGAATTGCCCGAAAAGATTAAAGACAAAATTTTATAAGCAGCAGCTAGTTTTCAAATAGAAACCAACTTAGTTGATAAGCCAAACTATTCTATATTCTATATCTACAAATAGTTACAACTTTTTTACAAACAACTCTCTTGGTGTCTATTTATGGGGAAATTTTAAAGTTTCAACTTCCTAGGTAGAATGCTTCTTCAACTTAGCAAATAGTTATGGAAATATATTTTATAAGCAAAAACATATATATTTTTATATTTACTTTGCCGTCGATGTTTAAGCTGTGTGTGTCAATTTAGTTTTTAAATCTATACTTATAAGCAATATGTGGCTAGGACTCTATGCGGATAAACCGGAGAAGAGGCGCATTTTCGCGCCACGAGCATAAACATAGTACAAGTTCAAAAGTAGAAATATTTACATACATAACCAAAACTACACATCTTTTAAGTAATTTAAATGTAAGTTAAGTAAAACAAACCGTATGCATAAAAAATGAAATAAAAATATTATTGAACTAAAATATACACTGTTTATTCAAATGGGAGAGGAAATTAAGATTATATTTTTCGGAACTTTCTATTTTTCAGATTTTAGTCTATGAGAGCTCAATAAAAATAAAAGTATATTTATATATGCCCCTAGAATTTAAAAACAAGGTGTTTGATGTTAAGGAGCTTAATTAAACAGGATGTCTTTGTTACCCATTTACATATAAAGAACGGTTGTTTATTAATATATTCAACTTAAAAAGAACAACAAAATTGGGTGTTAGGTTTTCAAGATCTTTAATATGTAATAATTAAATTGTTATCACAGGAACGATTCAGGTGTTTGGCGTGTCAAATTAGAAAAAAATTTCAAAGTTGATCATGTTTCACATTTTAAAATCTGAAACATTTTAAAATTCGGTTCATCAATTTTACATAAAAATAAAACAATACATCACTAGTTAATTAACTTACATCAAACATTTCACTGATAACCATTGTGGATAGCACTTTGCCACCTCAAAATGAGTAGCAACTTTTACCTCTCATCCAATCATTTCGAAATGGTTACCGGCGGCATAGATCAAAGCCGTTTGTTTCACAAAGGACACTGAATAATCTCCCATATTCCCTCATCCCATTTTCCGGATTCATACAATCGATGCGGAAAAATGTCGCGTGGCGCCACCCAACCAACTTAAAAATCTGCCTTTGGGCTAGGCTCAAAAAAAAAGAACGACTGAAATCTTTCAACTCTCGATTTTTTAATACGCTTTGTATAAGGCAAATAATACTGGAGAAAGAAACTGATGCTAAGCTGCTTTTTTAATTTTCTAAAATCCAAATAGACGATTCGTTTTAAGCAACGTCCACCGAAGCCATCAATCAATAGACGGACGGATCCATAATAATATCAATCAGGACAAGAACTGGCAAAAAACAAATACCATTTGCCAAATAAACTGTTCCCAAGCCCCTGAAGACGATTTTAAAATTTTTAGATATTTTTCTTCCAGGCAGATAAGCAGAAGCCAAAGGATTTTCTTTTTTTTGGTTTCTGAAATGCGCATTATGAGGACGGTTAACTGTCTGAATTCAATCAAATGTCCCCCCGGGAATTTGCACTCTTGTTTGCCTTAGCGTCCACACATGATATCGTATCCTTCATCCTTCAGCAACCCTTTCTCCGGGAGAAAGCGATGAAAGCCTCAAGTGCATGTGTGTGTTTTGCGTGCGTCCAGCTGGGTTTAAAAAAAGGTCGGGGTGGAATGGTAAAGTGACCCGTAAACAAACAGTTTCCCATTTTTTCAAAATAAGCAACAGATTTAAGGGACATTTTATAGGGTATGTGAAATCGAACTTAAAGATATTAAATAGGTTTCGAAAATCGGAAAACTTCATTGGCATTGAGCTACTGAAATTAATAATTATTAATTCTTCATACCAAAAATAATTTTTAAACTAATTTACCAAAGGTTCCTTAAATTTTTTTTTTAAGTACTCAATTATGATTCTCAAGTACCATAAAGTCTATTCCATTTTTAGAAAGCCCTCTCTCCGTAAAAAACACATTCTGCAAACACTCATATCATCAAGCATATACTTAGGTATTTGGATATTTGAGTACCTTTCGAGGCATTTTTAACTTAATTGAAAGTACACAAACTTACTAAGCAAATCAATTGCTTTTCCCCAATTTTTTTTCATCTGTCCCTAGGGTATGGAATGTTTGCAAAACTCAAAGGAAACTTGAAAATATATACAAAACAAGATTATTAAAAATATATTAGAGTTGGCTTTTCCCTAATGAAAGGGGGCTACCGTTGGTTCAGACTTTTTCCTGCGAGCTCTGTTGGTTTTTATTTAGGAACGTGCTCAAGTGCAGATTCATTGCATTTCGGTTGTTCTTTGGGTTGGATTTGTGGTCATCATTAGTGTGCTTTATTAAGTGGAAATAGAAGTAGCAACTCTAGCTGGGTAGCTTTAAGCGCAAAGTCTTTAATCCCCCTCTCTCAAGGTCGGCCTTTGAGGAAAAACTGAATATGTTGCATCTTTGAGCACGTTTCGCCTGGAATTGCATATGTTGAACGAGAAAAACACGAATGTAAAAGCCAGGGGGACCTAAATCGGAGCAAATTTGTTTACATCTTTTCTATATGTTATTGCAAAAGGGTTGGATGAGCAAATCTGGGTCAAGGTGAAGAAGCATTCCGAAGTGCACTCAACTGGTTTTTTGGTATGACGTTGCAGCTTGCACTTTTTATGTAGGGAACTCAGCATGTGTGTCAATTGTTCGTTAGTGAGTTTAAGGAATATCTAGTAAAAAAGTGAAGTTCTTTATAGAAAAATGAAAAGCTTAAGTACATACTCACCTACAAAAAAAAAAACACTCTCTTACTCTCTCTAAAAATCACACAAATGGTTCATTTTAAAATGAAAACCATTAAATCTTGTTCTATTAATTTTGTATATTTTGGTACACTTAAGGACAAAAAACAATTTTTTGGGAGACATACTTTGAAGTGACAATCTAAAAATGAATTCATGGTACATATATAAAACAACAATAATATAATATAACAAAATATTTTTTTTATGTTCTTAAAAATGAGCAAAAAAATCACATATTATTTCTTTTTCGTCACGTAAACTGACAAAGATGATTTAAATAGAATATAAGTACGTAAAATTTCAATTAAAAATTTCAAAGGGCAAGTTAACACCACCTCAGTCTGGATTTTGCCGCCCAGTCTCTTCCGATTTCAAGGACCGACATTGGTTGCACTTCATCATTACAATTAATACAGAAAGTGCAGCAGATCAAAGTGCCAATGCAAAGTGGGAAGAAGTAGGCGGAAAATGGGGAAAGCGCGGACAAAAGGCGCGAAAGACAAAAGGCGGCGACAGTCAAAAGGCAAAAACATCAAGCACAAGTTGCCATTGCCATGTCAAAGGTAATGACATAAGCCAAACAATTGAAAAGTTGTAACAAACAGCAGACAGGGAGGGAAAATGCAGGGGGTCCCCCGGAAAGCAAAAACAATGAGACTTCGTTAGCAACAGTAGCAAAAAAAACATATATACAATGCTTAAAAAATCACAAAAATATGGCAAGAAATTGTCAAAGCAAAAAAGAACAGAGGAATAAAAAAAAGTTGGCAAGCAATTTTCTAGCAATATATTTTCCGCTTCTGACCAAACTTTTCACGCGCTTTTTGATGTTTTCTCCATTGCAAAAGTGCAAAAATAACAAGGAAAAATGGCGCAGAAATATTTAATGAGGCCAAAGTGCAAAAAAAAGGTGGAAAAAAACAAGCCAGCCAACAAAAAATGTAATTTAATAATCAAATAAAAAGCTGGTCAAGGGAGCGGTCTCAAGGGAAAAGTAAGGAAAATGGAAAAGCAGCTATGCAAATGCCGCAGATAAAAAGAAAAAAATGCGATTCACATAACTTGAGCGATTTGACAAATTTACGAGTGAGTTTAGCGGACTAATCATTAGAGATATCTTTTTTACCCCTCTTAAAAAGTAACCCCGCAGGCCAGAATCAACATAAAAAGTGGGGGTAGTGTTGGGGAGGAAAACCTGCGATGAACTGGGAAAGTGCTTTTCATTGACAATGTTTTTTATTTTTTACCGCGTGCTTATTAAATACTGCAATGGCTATTTTATAGAAAAGAAATATAAAATTAGCAAAGCTTTCTAATTTATTAAAACTTTATATTTTATAATTTTTAAATACTGTTTTAAGTTTATACATAAATGATTTTTTAATTTGAAATAGCATACACAATTTCTCTAAATAATCAAGCAGTAATTATTTGGAAAAAAAAAATTATTGTAAAAGAAATTTCATTTATATTTTAGCTGCTTTTTAAATTTGAATTAATTATAGTGAAGGGTATTTCATAGTCAATATTACGCTTTTTTGGTTTCCTCTTTATTGTCATAATTTTTTCAGCTTTTATTTAGCATGGACCGAAAAAAGCGGCGAGAAAGGAAAATCTCTTGCACATAATTTTAATGTTTATCGTCTTTTATTGTCAAACAAATTATTTTTGATATTTCTGCTGCAGGCGATGCTACCGCCGCCCCACGATTTTATCCAGGTGATTCCGTCTGGGAAATGATTCAGCTGCTGAGGGTAACCAAGGAGATTCGGAACACACATATCTTGTAATTTGATTAGCATGTGGCAGCACCGAGGAAAAAGCAAAAAAATGCTGGGAAAGTGTGGGAGGTATGGAAAGAATAATAATCATATAGAAAATCCAGAAACGACATGCTGATCTCTATCGGGCGAAAGTCAAAACAATTTAATGCATGAATAAAAAATAATTTCCTTGCGAGGACATCCTGCTGCGGAGTTTTATTAGATTTCTGGCCAAAACGGAGTTCATATGTGCACTTGACTGCTAGCAAAACCGAAGAACCCATCCCAAAGGAAATCCCCCAATTTTCTCATCTTCCTTGGATTTATCCCCTGCCTTTCATGTCTCCATGTCTTAATACACGTTTGATTATTTATCCAACATTAAAAGAAAGTTCGGGGAAAAAGTGTAAGCAAACACACACACGCTGTCATTTTGCATATGAATTAAAACGCCATAAATTAGCAAAGAGCGCTTTTGCCAATTGAACTG